CTCCAAGAAGGCGGGCGCCAAGGGCATCTTCAGTCCTTCTTGGGCACCGCCTTCGGGGCCTTGGGAGCACCCTGAGACTTGAAGGGGGGCTTTGAGACCTTGGGCTGCTTGGGCTGATGAGGTGGATGCTTGGGGAGCGCGACGGCGCGCTCGGCGTCGAGGCGCGCCCGAAATGCTCGCAGCTCCTTCATGTATTCGCCCTGCGCCGACAGCCAGCGAGGATCCACTAGGGGTGAAAACGGGGTCTGGGCCTCGCGCTCCGCGTGACGACTGGTCACGCGACACGGGGGAGGCTCCAGCCCCGTGAGGAACCAAGCGGCCTCGAGGTAGCCGCGGTCCCCCGCCAACTGGTCGATGAACATGCACTGGCAAGTCAGCAAGGTCTGGACCCTCTCGGGGTTGCCCTCCTCGCAGGCCCGCCACAGCTCGGCGCTGAGGAAGGCAAAATGCGTCAACAACTCGTGCGTCGACGGCTGAGCCCCGAGGGGGCTGTGCTCGCGAAAGTACTGATGCATGGCCATGGGGGTCACGGCGCTGACTTCCACGCCCAGAACGCGGGCCAAATTCTCCTTCATCAGTCCTCGCACGTCGGGGCCGTGCTGCATCAGCGCTTGCTGCCACTCGCGCCTCCGAGCGATTCCCCCCATCTGAGCCGATGCGTGCGCGGGGTCGCCCGAGGTCGCGGGCGGAGTTTGAGCTTGGTCGCTCAGGGTCCCCAGAAGCGGGTGGAAGGCTGGGCGATGGCCCCGCCCCTGCTGCAAGGAAAGGGACTGGTGCAGGCACTGAAGCATGAGGCTGAAGTCCGTCGGATTGGCCGCAAGGGGCGGCTCTAACCCGTCGGCGCCGCCCGCCTCGGCAAAGCCGTCGACCGCAGCGGGATGGGCTAGCCCAGGCGGCGGCGGGGGGCCCATCGGTCCGGAAGCGGACGAAGGGGCCCGAGGGACAGCAAGAGAGCGCGCCTTCTCCCACGCCGAGACCAGCGCGGAGGTGGGTCCCTTGGGGCGCGCGGAGACCCGATGTGGGGCCACGGGCGCGTGGACAAGACGGCCTCGATCCCCGCAGGATCCAGCCCGAGGCGCGCCGCCTCGTCGCTGAAAAGCTGAGGCACCTCGGGCCGAGCGCTCCGGGCAGCCGGAGCGGGGCCCAGCGGTTCGGGTCCGCCGACCATCGTGGAGGCCGCGTGGGCTGCAAGCAAGGCGCGCATTTCGGCAGCTACCTCGGCGCGGGTCATGGGAGCCCCGTCGTCCAGAGACGCCGCAGGAGCACCAGGAGCAATCGGAGCAGGACCCGCGACCCGTGGCGGCGCGGCGGCGCCAGCGCGCTTGGCGGGCGGGCCGCGCGGCGCTCCAGCGACCGCGGGGGCTCGCGCACTTGGGGCCGCGCGGTCGGCTTCCCCGTCGGCCGCGAACCCCTCGGGCTCCTCCATCTCGTCGGCAGAGTGGTAGGGGGTAGCCCGATCGGCCCCTGGGAGAGGCTCTTCCCCTGCGGTAGGCGGGGCGCCGTGCAAACGAGCGTAGCCCTCGCGAAGCACCCGAACCCCCGAAGGATGCGGCCAATAGACGCGGCTGCGCACCTCGGCGAAGGGAACGATGCCTGCGTCGTCGCCGACCTCTAGAGGGTACAGCGACTCGAGCTCGAGCTCGGCAACCTCGATATCTATAACGAGGACGGATGCGGTAGTGGCGAGCGGCCGTGAAGCGGCCCCCTGGAGCTGGACGTCCACTAGCTGGAAGGGGCCTATCATCCCAGCAAAGCCATCCGCCTCGGCAGCCTCGAGCTCCGCTGTAGAGCGAAAGGCACCAGGCAGGGCCAGCAGGATGCCCCCTTCTCGAGAGGCGAGGGGGATAGCCGCCCAGCTGGTGTCGCCGTCGTCTAGGCGCCATCGTGCGTAGTCGCGCGCCGTGGGCGCAGCGAAAGGGTAGAGCTCGGGCCAAAGGGGCCCTCCGCCAACTGGTGGCAGCTCCGCCATCAGTGGGCGCCGCCGTGGACGCCGCCGCCCGCACGCTGGGCGTCTGCCCGCTCGAGCGCTTGAGGTCGAGGCGGAGCCCCGTAGGCCAGCGCTCGCGCCGCACGGCGGTCCTGCTCAGGTGAAGCAGAAACCGCGCCGCGCGGCCAGGCGGAGGGCCAGAGCCTCCGCCACACGTACGGGCCCAGCAGCCCGAGGCAGCAGCCCGCGCAGGCGCTGCAGGCGGCCGTCACCCAGAGGAGGGCGGCGACCGTGCTGAGCAGCCAGGGAGAGACCCCGCCGCTCAGGTCCACCGCCAGCCCGAGGCAGACGGTGGGGCAGGTGGAACCCGCCGAAGGGAGAGGGCAGGAGGCCCCCTCACCCTCGGACGAGTCCGCCTGCTGGATGGACCAGGCAGGCGATGGAGGCCCCTGGTCCTGAAGCACAGAGAGGGGGGCAGCCACGAGCCGCTCGTAGAGCGCGGCCCGCAGCCCCCTGAACAAAATCTCCCCAGCGCCCTGGAGAGCCGCTTGTGCGACCGCCTGCATAAGGCGC